TTTTTTTTTTTTTTTTTTGTCCTTTGATAGCAATTTCTCGCTGCGTATAATAACGAACAGTATAATGTAATTTAATAGTATCTCGATAGTTTACTATTTGCCGCAAAAATTTTACTTTCCCCCCCGAATTCGATACATTACGAGACATGGAAGCTCTTAAGAAACGTTCGAGAGATGCGATGCTTGCAATGTATGGTTTATCCTTTAAACCTAGATATGTAAGAATTAACTGATCAAGGACAGAACTAAGATAGAAATCTTACCGTCGTTGTTAGTAATTTACAAAACTCTTTTTATGATTTGAGCTGAAGGATTTAAGAAAATAATAGAATTTAAAAGGACAAATCTATCTATTCAATATTCTACTTTTTTAGACTTCGGAAAAGCTATTAACTTACTACTATCTTTAGGTGGATAAAAGGAAAAATTGAATTGTGATTACTGTATTTTTAATGAAACAATTTTCATGAAAATTGATCTAAATTCGTGGCAATAAAGATTCCAAATTTCTATATATTTTAATCTTTGTGCTCTATCGATAAGTTTAGGAAGAAAGAAAAAGAAAAAAAAGACTTAAAAAATATGTATATTTTATGATTTGTTAAAACGATCTTGGTGCATTATGCAAAAAATTTATAAATACAAATTTATTTATATTTCTTTTGTAAGATACTTCGAAAGATTTGTTATTTCTATATTATAATTCGATTGTAAGATTTAGAGAATGGAAAATATTTATCTTCTTGGTGTCCTTCAGTTTTAGTCATCTACATAAATTACTATAGTACCCTAGAGATCGTAAGGAATGATCATACTTACTTCGATAATATAAATTATGATAATATTAAAATATTAAACATATTTCTATTTTTGCGTGAATGCTTACGATTGTTAGTTGTTGGTTATTGTTATCTATTTGATGAGAGTTTTTAATGTTATGCATACCATGAGAAAAAAAAAAAGCATTATTAAATTCCCGATTTTTTTTTTTAATATTATTGGAGTTGCTGTTCATTTCAAATGCCTAGTATATCTAATCATTTTTTTATAGTTCTCTCGTGCGACACACCGAAATGCAGGATAAACTTTTCATAGTTACTCGATCCAATTTTGACAATTCCGAATGATTTCCGAAATAAGTTCAAGCCAAATGACGTGTATTTATATGTTTTACGTAATATAATAGGAAAATCATATTACAATTTCTGTAATGTTAATTTCCTTGCTGTTTTATTCAGGATGATGTTTTGTTTCTTTACATTCATACTGAAAATATACATCTTGACCAAAATTACCTCTGAATGAAACGCGTTTTGCGGTCACCTCATCTAATTCCTCAATACGTGTAATAATAGTAATAATAATAGTAATAATAAAAGAAAATAAGCAGTGAAAGACCATTATAGGATTGGTGGGCGTGAATGAAGCTACCTGTGAATGAAGTTTCATATAAATATATAAATGTTAAAATGATGATATCTATACATACATATAATAATATATGAATATATAAACAGAACTCTTTCACAAATAATAATTGAGAACCTCAGTAGCGGTCAGTAGAGTAACAAAGATAATGGCAGAATTTTTAATGTCCTACGATTAGACATATTAAAGGTAAGAGATTCGAGGTGTGGTGAATTCTGTAACGTATCGGGAAAAAGTCTATCGAATAACAGCATGCTTCTACGACGAAGTGGTATACACGAACGAGAAACTGTGTACACGATTATAATCAATGTAAACTTAATGCTTTTTTGCCATACTTCTTTGAACTATTATAGAAATCGTACGATGCTCAAATTGTATGTAGTGATGTTTTACTTAGTAACAGTGTCCTAGGATGAATGAATGCGGTGCGTTGTTAACCTTCTGTACAATCATGAACATCGAGGCAAGTGGAGAACAAAATTTTACGTTGTATTAACTATATTTTTCCTTCACCATTTGGTACTTGGAAGATTCTATATTTTACACGTATCGAATTCCTTAGACGATTAAAATATTACGCGTCCATATTCTATATTTTATACTTTTATATTTTTCTGGTACTAAAACGAGAAACGCAATGTTATTGTTAAATTAGAATTTTACGATGATGGTTGATCATAGTTTTTATGGTAGTATTGAAAAGGTTCCACGCACCCATTCTGCATAGACCAGTACAAATAAGTTTAATATTAATAGTAATAATGAATAAAATAATTGTTTAACCTTACTGGAACGTAAGGTACATCCCACTTAAACAGTAGCAGGTGTCCTACTAAATACTGTACCTTGACGAACTAAGCTAAAAAGCCAGAGTACTAAAAACAATCCTTCTGTGTGTATAAATGTCAGAAACTTTTATGTATCAATGAATGCTATATATTAATAACAAATTAACTTACACAACTGCCATTACGATTAACTATTGTTTGGAATATTAGCATGGTCCAATATTCCGTGTTTTATCTTTCTTCCTTTAAATCGAAATGAAAGCAAATTCTTACGAAATTTTACCGTTTTATTCAGTAGATTTTTATAATTTTATTGTTAATCAGTGAATTATGCGCAAGACTTGTAACGTTGAGAATATTGATAAATGAAAAATTCGTTATTAATGTTCTGGAACGCAGTAATCGTAAATGTACGAGATAGCTCTCTAACATTATATACCAGTTGAGAAATAATTATTATATTAACAGCTTAAAGGTATTTGTGAATAATAACTTTTATTTGTGTATCACTAACAATTTATTTTAACGAAATCCGGCATGTCAAATTGTTTCACGTTGTTTTAAATTGATACTAATTCATCTTAGTGCTTAAATAACTAATAACACTATGGTTGTGCTCGATAATTAAAGCAATGTCTATATGTGCATATTTATGAACGCGAATGTGTACGTACGTAAATGTATGATGTATGCACGTATACTTTCGCAGTTCTATCTACTATCTTTAAGCTGTAAATGTCATTTTTCGACTTACTGAAGCGATAATGAATTCATATATCTATTGATCTTTCATTTATTAAACGTACGTGTATGTATATGTATACGTTTACGGCTGTGTACATACGTACATACATATGAATTATTACTACATTATTAAAATACGCTTTTTGTATGTGTAAACATAACACTTTTTCAGGTAATGGCACATAAAAACGTATTTGGAATGTGAAGAGTTCTATATTGGATCGGTAACTGTTTTATAACAAACGAGAGTAATATATTCACAAAAGAATATGCGTAATAAATATGATAATGACGACGATGATGATGGGTACATAAATTATATAAATGTAGAAAACAAAGAGTGTAAGAGAGAATGCGACAGTGAGAGAGCGAGATTGTTAATGGAAGAAACACGAAGAAGTCATGAATGTACTTGTAAAACAGTATGGCTAATAACAGTCCTTGAGTAAAGAAATATAATGTACGGTCTTGCGCCAAGAGATAAATCGTCTATTCTGACTTGTCTAAATATAATATTTTTATGATGCAAAATGATGGTTGTTTGATTTATTTTATATACCCCTATTGTTGCAAAAATTAATTAAAGCAATTATATAAAAATAAGAACACAGCTCATAAGCAGTACTTATGAAAACACCTTTTTATTCGTGTTGGACATTATACAGAGTATGTTTCAGATGTAATTGTTATCCACGGACATTTTTTGATGTTAACAATAATTAGACGTACATTTTGATATTTTCATCGCTGCAAACTTCTTTCCCCATCTTCCATTTTGAATTATAAATTAAATTCTCTAATAAATGACCGATAAAAAAGAAAGTAGAAAACAATATTACATACGCTACAGCGCTATCAGATAGATAATACAATTGAAGGGATGATGTGCCCCATATTATCTTCCCTTCAGTCAGGCTATATGTACAATTATTATCTTCTTTGAGACTGTCATTAATCGTTCTTTAAACAAATAAGTTAACCGTATTATAAAATGAGTTTGGAAGTAAAATCGTGTTTTCCTTTAACTAAATTTCACAAGCTTTTCAGCGTGTGTACAGTCTTGATTTGAGTTTATCTGGAAAAAATAGAAAAATTAATTTTACTTCTGTTACTATTTAATATGTATAGCAATGAGTCTTTTTTCTTTTCTACTAATGTCTGGCTAAATTAGACGCTATGTTAAGAGAATGCATCACAGCGAGAATCTGATCACCATATTTTTTTTACATGTTTGTGCAATGCCTAATACAATTAATCAACGTATAAGACATGAATTAACATGTGTATATATTTAACTTTATATCTAGATATTATTAACAAAGTTACATATATGCTAAGCAATTATGATACTAACAAAGTACAAGTAGTAAATATAAAACTTACAATATTTTTTCCACAATTTGTTGAATACCTAAAATTATTTAGAACTTTTGTTCCTCAAGACCATGCTTGAATAACATGAGTACTGGCACAGATTCACCATCGATTTCGCGATATTCCATTAATGCAACAATACCATCAATGTCCATAGATTCACCAGTGAAAAACTGCAAGTCCTTAAAACGACTCAATATGTCTTTCATTACTTTATTTGTATTTGTCTTGAAAATGTCCACTTGGTCAGGAGATTGTTCTTCCAACTTTGCTACCAATCTAGCAAAAATTGTACTATTGATAAAATTGTTCAATAGCAACATACACTGTTACAAACATTTTGATATTTACTTTTTCATATAATCCTTCAGATACACGGTATAAGATTTCTTGTCTGTAAATGCAAAAGTTTCTTGAAGCCGATGATTCATAACTACATCAACACCAGATTCTACAGATTCTTCTGTTCCTTCCTCAACGTCATCAGCAGATGGGTTAAATCCAGCTATGTCAATGTCACCTGACTTTCTAGTAATCATCTAATTATAAAGAAAATTAATACTCAAAACTTAAAAATCAAAATATAATAATTATATATTACTTTTAATATAAGTACCTTGCCATATACTTCATATAGAACATTATCTATCAACTTTATTTTATAGGTATCTGAGAACATCTCATCACCTGAAATATAACAAATAAATTAAGGTACAAAATTCAGTGTTGCAAAATAAATTATATTATATAATTATTTAAAAAATTATTTAAATGTCTATTTTATTGCAACAAAATAATTAAATTAAGATAATGACTTTTTCCTGTATTAAATTAGATTTATAATATTATATACTGCAAGTTATATCATTTTACTGTCGTCATTCCGTAGTGAGTCATTTCGAACATATGGAGAGGTTATACATTGGTATATTAAATATGCAAACAATATAATGTTTTTATGACACTAAAGGGCCTTTAAAACTTACACCATGGTACATTTGAACACTTAACCAATTACAATCATACTGAAGAGACATTTTATCATTATTATTGTCAGAAATTTAATTTTCAGGATAGAAATGTCACTACAGATCTATCTTCAATCAAGCGTAATATTTTTTTTCTGAGCATAACATAAAATTTGAAAAAATATTTATTATATACGTTATTAAAAGATATTCCAGATTTACTTACCGGTGAAAATATCCTTGTAGATCTTCATAGTGGAAGATGGAGAAAGATTTAATTACAGTTAAACTAAATAAGACTTAGTCACCCCAAAGAGCGAACCGGAAGGGAGAGCAGTACTCAAAGATGCAGCTAACTTCGCTGCATTCTTTTACCTCTTACATGTTTACCAACATAAGAATCTAAAATCATTATATACTCGAATCAAATATATTTCATTACTACGTAGATGCAAAAAGGTAGTTCAGTAATTATTTTAATATTTATCATGTTCTAATCAAATATAGATGCTATATTAATCTTCCAAAAATAGATTTGTGACAAGTATACTTTTATTTTACAAAAGATATGTATTACAAATTTTTATATTTTTCAAAACTCTGATTAATATAATCTCAATTAATTATTAATAATTAAACAGTAAAGCGTTATTAAACTTATATATTATTTATTTAATGTACACAAATAAAACGTGCGAATAAAAAGTATAAACTAAATACGAAGAATTTTTAATGAAGCGTTACAACTAGGAGTTGTCTCTCATATTTAATATTATTTTACTTTATTGTTAATAACATAGACAAATATTTAAGCACATTATAATCCTAATTTAACATAAAATTAGAAATATATTGTTACAATACGTTTAAAGTTATATAGTGAATATTGTTATTAAAGATAAACTGAAAAGTGGCAGCCTGTTCTAGAGTAAAATTGTGCTAATTCCGACAAAATCCTTATTTTTAGTTCCGGTTTATATTATATCAGATATTTTAGAAAAGTTATTTCCATACTTATATCTGATTTTTTATTTATAGTTTGAATAATAATATATTTTAATTAAATGCAATTTAAACTAATATCCAACATTAGTTTTTCTAATTATTTCTCTTATTTATCATATAACTCGACAAGTATTAAATATATTGAATCTGATATTTTAATACAAAATAAAAATAATAAAAACAGAATAATTTTACGTTGTAATAAACTATTAAGTTGGAATGACGTACTATTTGCTTGCATAACTATTTCCAAATTTCATACGACATAATTACCGTTTTCATTTGTAACATTTACTTCCGGTTGCTGAGAAAACAGGACACGTTTGTTGCATGCTGTTTTGAGTGCAAGTTTATCAACGAACTAATTTCTTTTTACATTTTGTAAAAGATTTTAAAAGCTTACATTGTATTGAAACGTGTGCGGTATAAGAAACGACAAAAATGGAAAACGGTCAAGAAGAGACTAAAGTTGAAACTGTAACGAATGATGCTGTTGATGACGAGGTTAAAAACGAGAAGCCGGTTTCTAACGTTGAAGAAAATGCCACTAAACAAATATCTGAGGAACCATCCAATGAACTCTTGGAAAGAATAAAGACTCAGATCGAGGTATTATTTTATTAAATAATTATTTGTTCGACCAATAAGAAGCTAGACACTATTTTATCTCTCATGATATTGTTTTATGTATATACACACATACATATCTATGTATATGTATTCATATAGTTTGTATGAACATAATTAGAAAGTTAAATTCATAGTTTGCAGTTATATAACTACAGTTCAATTATTCAATATTTTTATGTTTCCAGTTTTACTTTGGAGATGTGAATATGCAAAGAGATAAATTTCTTATTGAGCAAACAAAATTGGATGATGGATGGGTTCCAATGACTGTTATGTTAAATTTTAAGATGTTAGCTTCAATGAGTCAAGATACTGATGTCATATTAAAAGCTATAGAATCGAGTGAGCTCATGGAAATTTCTGAGGATAAAAAAAAGATTCGTCGTTCTCCAAAGCATCCTTTGCCAGTGTATAATGAAGAATATAGGAAAGCACAAGAAGCTAGAACAGCATATGTAAAGGGATTTCCTTTACAGGATACCAATATTGAAAAACTTAAAGCATTTTTCAATGATTATGAACCATTTGAAAACATTGTTGTAAGTATATAATTAATGTATAATGAAAAAGATATTTTCAGATAAAGCTTGAGAAAATTTGCGTAAAAACGTTTAGATTTTCAGACCATTTTCTTGTTTGATAGATGAGGAAGTATCAAGATAAAGAAAAAAAATTGCAGTTCAAAGGTTCTATTTTCATACAATTCAAAACTTTAGAGAATGCAAAAGCATTTATGGCTAGGGAGTCCATAAAATATGGCGATACAGAGTTGATTAGGAAGTGGTCGTAAGTTGATTAGGCCATACATCTTTTATAAAAATTTCAATAAAATTATATACTCAATTTAATATTTTGAAATGTTAGAGCTGATTATAGTGTGGACAAGGCAAAGGAAAAGGAAGATAGACGACAAAAAAGATCAGAAATGAAAGCAAAGAAAAGTGAATCTGTTAGTACAGAAAATTTTATTCTTTATATTTATCGTAGTAACTAAATATTAAATTAGAATGTTGAACTTTTTAGGGAAAAGAGAAAGATGATAAGAGTGGTGATGAGAATGAAAGTGAAAAGGATTCTGTATTACCAAAGGGTTGTGTAATTCACTTTTCTGATATACCTGACAAATGTACAAGGGAAGATATTAAAGATCGTTTGGGAGAACTAGATGCCAGTATTGCATTTATTGACTTCAAAATAGGTGACAAAGAAGGATGGGTTCGTCTACAAGGAGAAAATACTGCGAAAGCTATAATTGATAAAATGTCAGAAAGCAAAGTAAGCCTGTTAAATTATATTTTTCTATTTTTTATTCCTTAACATTGTTTTGTTCTACTAATCCTTTTTATTCATTTTATAAGGTATTACTTCGCAATAAACTAGTTACTTGTCGCGTTCTTGAGGGCCAAGAAGAAAAGAATTATCTCATTATGGCCGAAGAACAGATGGCAAATAGTAGGACAAAACATATTAAAGGGAAGAAAGGCAAGAAAGGTTAGTTTAATGTAATAATTGTAAACAATTTTTCACAATTAGTATTATTTTCATAATGATGTCTTGCCATGCTAATACTGAGGGATCAGTTTTGGATTTCTATGAGTTAAACTCTAAAATATAACTGAATGTATATTGGTTACACGTTTTATGTAAGTCAAGAACTAGACGTATATTAAGTTTGTAAAATGTACTTTGCAGGTCGTAATACGCAACGAGGTCAACGGAAAAGGCGTAACAGCGAAACCAATGATTCAGTTGCTGCTAAAAAGATGTCTGTCGATTAAATCAAAAATATTATTTAACTTGAAGAAACCAAAATTGTTCTATACTTATTCAACTACACATGTATATTAATCATATTTTTATTATACAGATATCTATGTATAAAATATGAAAAAGATAGCCGTTACACTGCTACGTATTCGAAGTAAGCGACTACTTTAAACGCATATTTTTTGTTAAGCTTAGGCAGTGTGTATTATTTAAAAAAGATAAAAGTACAACACTTTATATTTGTAAATTGTACATTATTTCATAGCCCCACGCGTAATTTAACGTATTTGGATATAGGATAAGGATAATTATAGAAACCGAAAGTGCAAATGTATTTAGAAATCAGCATTTTATTGTTTTACAGTGAAATTTACAAAGGTGTTTCGACTAATCTACTACTTAAATTTCACTGTTATGTGCTTGATAATCCCGTTCACACAATTAACGGACAGTCACAATGTGCTGACAATTCGTACCATTCGCAAACAATATTTTACGAGTATTTTTTCTTTTTATTTTTTCTTTGTGAAACGGTATTGAAAATGATCGAAATCGATAGTACAGTTACGCGACACCGTGCATAGTATGATTGCTATCTAAAGTACAACGTTATGTCCTTAATCATACCAATACGCTTTCATTACTTGATGTGCCTCAGAAAATGCATACAATCGATTAAATAAATTCGACTATATTAAACAGGTGTTATTTTTTACATGGCGATCGAAACTTCGTCCGCTGAAGCTCATGACGTTTTTCCTTTCCACAAGGGAAAATTTGTCTTTTAGTAGAATGATTGTAGGTTTACTTTACGTCAATATGTCTTGATAATCAGTCTGGTTTATGAGTATGTGATGGTGTGCATTTTTAAAAAAATTTATACTATTGTTTAAATAAACATTTTATGCTTGAAAATATATATAATTTTAGCAATATTTAATTTTATCAACTAATGGAAGAACAGTGTTTACGAGTAGTATTATGGATTGTAAAAGAACTATAAGGAAATAAATTTTGTATTTAAGTTTGTTACTTATATAAGAGATATTAAAATATCGAGTGCTGTATACGTTATACTCATTGAAGTTCTATGAAAATTGAGTAGAAATTTTTTAAGTATCTGGATCAAAAATAAATATCTTATAACATTGTAATTTACACTGAATTTGAGAGTTTAATTCTTTTGATAATTTTTAACCGCAACGACATCAGATTCAGCTTGAAAAATCCTACAAAGACGAATGATATTTGCATAAACGCGGGCGTAATCTCGCCTTAGATTACTTGGTCGAAGAGGTTTAGGTAATATTTAATTTAAAGGAAATTGTGTTCCACTTTATGATTACGTTTTGAGCACATGTTGCCACCAGAGATCCGTCGATGTTTCCGCAAGTGTTATGCGAATTTCGTTCAAATTGAACCATTAAATATGCAGTTTCCGTTTGTTATACTTATTCACTTTAACTTCAAACTTTCACACAGCGTTCGCATAAGTTTCTAATGCGAATGATCATTTTAAAAGAACTTATCTTTTTTAGTATCGAGTGCATACATATATATTTTTTCAGTTTTCTCCTTTTTTCTTTCTTTCTTTTTCTTTGGCTAAATAGTGAACAATTATGACAAGACGATGAAGCAACGCAGAATTAACAAAGTCCTTCAAAGTTGTCAAGAGGTCAAAGGTCGTCTGACAAACATTAAGATGGAACAAATTTTAAAATATATTTAAAATATAGAACATTTTGTAGAAATAAATAATTGCGAATAATAAATAAAATTATCGAAGTAATTTATCTGTCAATTTTGTTCCTGATTTTAATAAATTACATTATGTTCACAGGTCACTATGATGTAGCATCGTCTTCCTTTAAATTTTAGGAGTCATTTTTGCGACTATCCTCTCATACAAAATTTCTCTACGAATCGGGATGCATTGACGTTATTTAATTAATTATCCGTGCTAATCCATGTACGAGCCTCGATACTTGGAATAGAAAAAACAAGAAACAACTTTTAATTTGCACGCACAAACGGAAGTAGGAATCTTTTGCGAGTCTAGCGTCAGTTATACCAAAATTTATCCTAGTCACGTGACATTGCTACTCCATGTTGGATGCCAGCTACGAGAAGAACACTTGAAAGAACACTGATTGTGAAACAGTTACAGTGCTAACTCATGAATTTTTATATCGATTTTGTTCTTCGTGAAATATATCGTTAAATTAATCTTTCTTTTCAACTTCTATTTTAGTTCACGTTTGAAATAAAAATCATAGACGGCTGTTAGAACTTGTTTCACCTTCTAAATGTAAAATAAAGATGATAATATATTACTGGAAAAACAAAATCGACATTAGACACTCGGGGAGTGTTTTATGTTAGTTAACAATATAGTTCTTGCTATCATCAGGTTAAGTTTCTCTTAGAAATAAGTCACTTGATAAAATTTAGTCAACTCATCGAGAATCGTCTTATAACACATGATTTTAATAGTATCCAGTAAAAGAAATGCACCATATCTTGTAAAGAAATGCACTCAAAATGCTCATAAAGTTTGACGTGCATAATCGAGGAACACTCATAGTCATTTAAGCCTTCCCTTAAAAGCACTTTGTCTTTGTAACAACATATGGCAGTTATCGCTGTTTACACATCAGAATAATTAGAGAATACTTAAAATACGATCGAATGTTGCTTTAAAACTCATTGTTTTTTCAGTTTTCTTCAACAATCGTCGAAAGAAACATCGAAACGTCTCCATTCTTCATCGAATTTTCACAAAACGGACAATTTCATTTGCCAACCTCGGTTATGCGCTATTATTAGACATCTGTTAATCCACATCCATGCAAACTCCTTCAAAATTTGGACTCGCCAGTTGCCTCAAAATCTACGAAAGTCACCTTCTTGGTTTTCATGTTGCCCTCTTGGGGCAACCCCTAATGCTATACAGATATTTCCTGTATTTGCACACGTTTTTTAATAGTATTGGTGCCACTAGTAGTACTCAAAGAGCTAGTTGTCCTCGTTGGTGGTTTTGGAGGAATAGGATCCTTGTGGATGGTGTTGCTGGTCCCGTGGCCAGGTTTTGGTTCACTATTAGACTGTTCATCGACGTCTGTCGATTGACTCTGAGCAATTTGTTGATGTTCCTGAATAGAGGGACTTCTTGCAAGGGTAGTATACGACGGCGGAGGTTCTTGGGCTGTTCTGGGGCTTTCTGGGCTCTTAATGGACGATCTAGTGGTCATTGGAAGGGATTCTTGTCCATTTGGCGTGCAATCCATTGCCGCCCTCTTCTTGTCTCGATCCCTTTGATAGTAAATACCCGCGAATATCAACATGTTCAGCACCAACAGAATGCAACCGATTCCTACAGTGATTGCCAGAGCTGTGGTGGTGCTATAATAGTGACGAGAGGTCGATCTTTGCAACAGCTCTGCATTGTCTTCCGAGTCGTCCAAAACAGGTGTAATATCCTCGGTGAGATCATCACCAGCAGATGTGCTGCACGCTGTTGTCGAAGATGCGCTGGTTTTGGTTGTACCTACGAGGGGCAGGGGAGTGTACCACTCATCTCGAACTGGTCCTGAAAGGTTCGATAATCGTTTCTCAATTATTCGATTCGTTTATGGAAATACATCACGTATCGTTTATATCACTTATATCATAGCCAAGATTCTTTCAATCGTAATGCTTAAATAATCGAGTCTCTTTCCATACGGATACAAGAAATATCTTAAATTTAAGATACATTACATAGAACTTTGATACGTATATATCGAAGAGAGAAGATTTAAGCGACTTAAGAACAAAGAATCTGGTCGTCACCTGCATAAATGTGGTCGCCCCTTTCTCGAAAATGATGATGCCGCATAGAGACATCGTCGTCCCCAGGACGATGGAGTTGGGGTATCAGGTTCAGCCAAACCGCCATTTTATGACCACGGTAATGACTCTTCATTTTCGGTTTCATCGCTGAAACAATCAGGATAGGTGGTATATTCGTTCGGGAATCACGAATGAAGCCTAGGGAAAAGTAAATAGAAGAAAAGGAAGAATAAGACGTGAAAGGAAACTCACCAATCGTGAGATACTGTTGAGTACCAGTCTCGTATTGTTCCCACGTGAGGCCATGATATCGCTTATTCTCCTTCGGCGTGCCGTAATCCACCGATTCGATTTTGTGTGGCTCGTTCGGATTGCCGGTCTTGGCGAAATTCGTGAAAAACGTTAGGACCGCCTCTGCGACGCCTTGATCCTGGCTAGAATAATTCCGTGGAAAGAAGGATCCCCCAGCCACCAGCGGCAGGCCGAAGATATACGGTATATCCTCGCCGCGAACGCTGCCCAGACGCTGGAACAAAATGATTTTCCTCGTCAGTGAGATGCAACGTTTGATAGCTAAAATAGGTGTTACTCAATTCCAAAATGGCGTCGATTGGAAATGTATGATACGGGTATAATGTATGACATGACAATCGTTTCATATGGGATTTCATTAAATAAGGAGCGCTTAACGACTGAAAATAATGGAAACGAAAAGATTCGAAGGTTCGAAATTGAAACTTAAAAATTGAAACTTGCAAAACTCGAAATAAGCGAGAGCTTCGTATAATTTCTTCGAAACAGCTTGCTCGTCGATCGCAAAATTACTCAGGCAACTATGAAAGCAGCGATCTTTGCATCCAGCAAAATCTCATAACGGGATTACCGCGAAATTTCCGCGAAAATCGCACAGATCAATGATTCAGCCGCCATTGCAGCCTCCCTTTGAAGAGAATCCGTTCGCGATGGAGGAACAAACAGCCGGACGGCCGATTTCGCCGGTCTAGCTGCTCGATAATTGTGATACGATTCAACTCGATAATTGTAATTGCAAAGCAGCGTGTATGGCACGGAGACGCGGCCAATTTCGTTTGTGTCCCACGGAACACGTCGCGATGCAAATCCCGTTAATTCACAGCGTAAGCAACGGAATTTACAGCTGCCAGCCGACTTAAATGTCGCCTGGTTCCAACGGTATCTTCGTGGATGGCTTGCAGATCGGTGTGTATATGCTCGTGCATGCATCTCGAAGACGGCCGAAGAAACGAACAGCGAATTTGCATATCGCTCGAGAGAATCCACGGCTACGTGTCTTGACACCTATACACTCGGATCGCTTAACGGATCAACCGGTTAGCCTTGCTCTGTTAAGATACGTTGTAGCTCGCTGAATGAGTCTCGAGGGAGTTTCGTTAACGCGGTTTAAACACGGTCTTTTCAAGCTATTCGATTCATTAGGAGAAAAGCCAGGCTTTCCAAGGCAACCAACATTCCGAACCGTGGAATTCCCAGATTTGTTTCGAAACGTATAGGTAAAGAGAAGATTCCGCTGCGTTTTTATCATCTTTAAGCTTCTTGTTTCTGCCTTCCTCTCGGGGCTTTTACCTAAAGGCAGATTCATTTAACTTGCCCATTTTTACGTCCCCGTTAGCTTTCGCGGTTTATAAGTATGCAGGAATTCCGGTTAGCTTTTATTTTAGAGCACCGTTGTTAATTTGCTGGCTAAGAAAATTGCGAATATAATGTTCATAATCATCGTGATCGAGTGATCGAATGGCTGGTACAATACAAAATTATATAAATACAATTTACGGTATCAATACAAATTCATGGAAGAAAAATAAGTAGGTTTCTTAATAAACGTGGAATAAAAATTATCTCGTTTGTTCAAAATTAGAAACAAAATTCATAATTAGAAATTAGAAAGAATTAGAATAGAAATACCTTTTAAACGAGGTATTCGAATCAAGAAATTATTATTTATCGATGTACATGATGTTATCTCTCTATTCTATTTTTAATTTAAACATACGTATCTCAGAAGATAAAAATATATCTAAAAACAAAAAAAAATAATTAAAAAGTTGCAAATGGTTACTTTGTTTCTTTTCAAGAAATTATTATTTATCGATGTACGAGATGTTATCTTTCCATTTTATTTTTAATTTAAATATACATATCTCAGAAGATAAAAATATATGTAAAAACAAAAAAAAAATAATTAAAAAGTTGCAAATGGTTACTTTGCTTCTTTTCAAGAAATTATTATTTATCGATGTAGGAGATGTTATCTCTCCAAAAGAAAATAATTAAAAAGTTACAAATGATTATTTTGTTTCCTAACTTCTATCAGTAGGCGTATTATATTATACATATATCCTAAAACTAATATAAATAAATAAATATATAATATAAATAAATATTATTTTACTTTGACAAACTAATCCAATTGTTTTTAGCAATAATTTTATCATTCTTCCATCGCGTTTTATCCACAAGTTAGAAATTTGTTTCCCCTCTACTCTCGCACACACGCAAGTAAGTACAAACTCCGCGATACTTTTTAATTGAGTTCGCAGTTTCCGTTTCTTTGCTCCTTTCCCCCGGTGAATTCTTATTCGAATTGGCCTCCGATCCTTTTTCCCGTCGGACTTAAATTCACGTGCGACGCGTTAATTATAGCAACCCTGCGAGTTACGAAGAGTTAGTCGCGACACCGGAACTTATTAAACGAGGTCGCCCTTCGCGACCGTGCCTCGACTTCCTTTTAATTAAATTTCGCTTTGTGCGTACACAGTTGGTCATACCGTGGCAGGTAAACGCGCTAAATCGCTATTAACCGTAGCCCACAGGCGAAACTTGTTAACTTCCAGTCCCCTCCTCGCCCCCTCCTCGCACACGGACACCCATAGCGTTCCCTGTGTACCGTAAATACGCGATAAATTAGACCGAATGGTGAAAACGATAAAATAAATTTCGCAACAAATAGTCGGGACTTTCCTTATGGCAGAATGACAGATTCTATCCGACGATAATCCGATAAACCAGAATTTTAAATAATCGGTTTTTTCTTGCTCTATTATCGCAATCGTCGGTCGACCCATTGTATTCCACGAAATTTTCCATTAAATCAGGAAAATTAAACAGCGAAATTTTTATCACGCGAAAAATGATTTCGAACCAAAGATATTAACCCTTTGCACTCGAGAGGTGACCTTTAGTCACCATTTCCTAAAATTTGGAAGATCGATATTAATTAATACATCAAATTTAATGTAACGTAACAGTATGCGAGGTATCGAAATCAAATAATTCTACAATTTTATTATTATACGATTTTTTATTTACTGCCTTAAAAAGTATTGCCAGTTTTCAGCAGAGAATCTTCGAATTTCTACTCTTCTCTAGTCAAAAAATCGTCGAGTGCAAAGGGTTAAAGTAGAGAGAAAAATTGGCAATGCGATCTAATGAAGGCAATTAAGCATTTCGAATACGTGTTTTAAAATTGGTTATGCAATTAGTTATGTATTAAAATTAGTAATATTAGTTTTAAAAAAATTATGGTGCAAGTTTAGACAACTTAGAAAATTTAGACAAAGTGGGAAATGTAAAGAGGAAAGGTGTTCGACTATTTGGTCGCCAGGTTGCTTTTTTACGGGTCTTTCCACTGTTTTAAAGCGAGGAAGGGAAGGATAAGAGGAATTCGCTCGATTCCATTTAATTCGATCGCAAGAAAGCGCCCGAGCTTACGGCTCGCGCAGATTGCCTCTCTAAACTTCCGTTTTCTTGGCATCGATTCCCATCTTGGCCTTCTCGGAGCTCTCTGCTCGCGTTTGCGTCCCGACCAACCGCTGCCCATGATTTCACGATGAACCTACTGATCTAATCAAACGCCTCGAGGGTCTGATAGAAGGACGTTCGCGTTATCCAGGAAGTCTCTGACGGTGTAAATTAAGCGCGGCGCCGTGCTGGAACTTGGTCACGTCGTTGGAACCTCGAAAGTTCGCCGATCCATCGGACGATTGATCGATCGAGCCATCTACTACGAGATATTCTTCGTACGATAATGATCTCGTGATTTAGCGAGAAATTTAATGGAAATTTGTGTTTTGCGAAATTATCGGTTAACTCGCCAGAAATGATTAAAAAATAAATTTAATCACCGAGATTAAAATGATATTATTGTCATAAAATTATATTTCTCATGCTATTATTATAATAATTAAAAAAAGAAACTCCGATAAATTGAATGTAATTATTCCTAAACGAATTAATATTTCGATTTCTTTTCTTTTCAGTGCGTATTAAAATGTCTGATAAAATATTCTCAGGTCGTTTGTTCGATTATATTCCGAATTGATACTGGCACAGTTATGCCCCGACTCCTATGATTTAACCATCGGGTTATTAATTTATTAATTTACATCCATAGACTGGCAGCACACCGATGCACTCTCCCGACAAGTAGCGAAGATCGATATGCTACGAAGCAAGTAAAATGTACCTCTTATAGGTCAGACGAGTAGCACGTGACTGACTAAGAAAGGAGTCCGATCGCCGATAATTTCCTCGCGTTATTGGGTTGGCAAGAAAGTAATTTCGGTTTGCATCAGTAAATAATGTTATGCTTGTTTAGTTATTCTTTTGTCAATGTTAGAATTCTTTTCTTTTCAGATGCGGTAGTCGATACATTTAGGTTGCTATTGCGGAGATGTCTAGCTTTTAAGTTGGTGTGAATGAACGGTGATGCGTGGTGGCGAGTGAACGTGGATGGATGGTAAAACTGGAAAAACAAAAGAAGCGCGAAGAACAAGCGAGTGTGTGTTCGACCGTGTTGTGCGTGAATATCCCTTTTCCGCGTGAGAATGCGCGATGAATAATAATCTAGAACCGTTGTGAGAATCCTTGTAAAAATTAATATTATTAATAAACAGTTTAATAAGCGACATCGTCCAGTTTTCATTATCCACCACAGCTATTTCGTGAAATTCCGTGTAATTTCGTTTATAACTGTCAGTTCACGGTCAGTCTTAACATGGAGTGGAAAAATAAGCATTTTCGACACATTTTACTTTTTTATTTTCATAAAGGCAAGAATGTGGCTGAGGCTCGCAAAGAGATACGAGGAGTTTATGGCGTTGATTGTTTAACAGAACGCACGTGTTAGAGTTAGTTTAAAAAATTTCGTTCTGAAGATTTTTCACTGAAGGATACCCACAACGTTCTGGTCGACTTTTTGAGATTTACGCACTTGGTTAAGTTTTTCGCAGATAAGGACCAGAAATTCTATGAGAGCGGGATCATGAAGTTACCAGAAAGATGGCAAAAGGTCATCGAATAGAATGGAAGATATTTGATCGATTAAAGTTCATTTACTGTATAGAAAAAATTGAGTTTCATTTCACATTAAAAAACCGAAAGTACTTTCTTGCCAACCCAATAATGCTCTTCTAGCGAAGAAGAAAAGACCCAACTCTTTTGTAGGTTAATAGAAGAGACAAAAATCCACGTATCGATGTTTAAATAATTACACGCAGGTATACTTTCATCTTCTAAACTTGGCCTATTTGTATCTCTCATGGTTCCACCTGCTTTGAATAAACGAAGCGAAACGGAGGTACAATTGGCCAACTTCTCTATGCTTCTCCAAGCTATTACACTGCCAAAAATAACGGATCCTCGCTGTACGCGTATAATTTTATGTAAAATTAACTCGAACATAAGCCGTTTCTCTCGCGCTCGACGTTCCACTTTCCGCTTTCAGTGGAGTGGAGAGGTGTGCGCAAAACTGCCATATTTAGTATTTCGTCGTGCCTGGCCTTCAGGGACCGAAGGGGCAAAGGGGAGCGTGTACTTAAGAAATTTCGCGAAGAATCAAAGAAATCGCGAGTAAACGGCGTAGACGGGAGGAAAAAAGGGAGAGAAAAAGAGATTTCGCGAGAAGTAAGTTTACGAGCGAAGTGGTTCAAAGAGACCACGGTTCTCCGTTGACGCTTTATGCGGGTGTCCCGATCGTTAAAGGACACGGCTCCTTTTAAATCGCATTCGACATCTGTCGCGCTCGCTCCTGTATTTACGGATGAAGGAAGGACTGTGAATTATTGCTTATACATTGGCTAAATTGGGAACTTACGTTTCCTTGTGTTCGCGACGTCATCCTTGTTATCTGTTTGCAAACATGAGGTTGTTGGTTTATATCTTTGTCGTATTGCTTTTCGAGAAATAAATCGCTTCGAAAGAAATCGACTAATCGAAGCCTCTACGAGCTAAACTAATTTCAAAAAACTATGTAACAAAATTCTAAACAATTAAGAAGAAGCGTATATATATACATAATTAGCTAAATCAGTGATCGACGTGTTAACAAGCGAACGGAAACAACGGAAACTAGCGAAATGGTTGAAACAAGGAATACATCCGCTCTCCTTTTCGCAAGCCAAACAAGCCACGAAGCGCCAAATCGAGTTTACAAAATCAGTAATTGCGGTTCGAAATGCAGAAAGCAACGAGGCATCGATTCGACTGCATAAACGTCATAAGCTCAAAGCGTCTTTCGAGAATAATTCTCATTAGAAATTTTCGTAACAGCTTCAACCATTTCGTCGATCACCGTACGTGAATCAACGCAAGTCTCACGATGCGAAATCTCGTCGACAAACCTGCAAAAGGCCACTATCCTTCGTCTGATGACTAAAGTGATAGAAGTACGTTTTAGCCCCCCGCCTGGCATGATAGAACGCAATCCTCATGAGAGGCGCAACGGTGTGGCCATCGCTCAGTGCCTCCATGGTCCAATCCCTTATAATGATCGGATGCAGGACAGACTTGTTCCAGTCCGTATACTCGTTCCTAACCGCGGAGAAGATCTCGTTCAGATGATAGACATAAGCGTTCCTGATGAACGTCCGTAGAATTCGATTCCGATAATCCTCCTCGAACCCTTGCTGAATGTCGTTCGCGTTGAAGTCCAGGTTCGACTCGGTGGTGGAGACACCGAGGATCAGTGGTACCTTGATGAACGTGTCGCTGACTCTCTCCATGTCCAGGCCTGGGTCGGGATTGTTCTGGTCCACTGGCAAGCCTGGCCCGATCCGTGGCACGAATCTGTAGCGGAAAACGAGGCGTATTAGCTTGGTTCACTGATCGTTGGATAGTAAATCGGCACGGTGCAGCCGGCTTCGATCGATGAGGTGACCGAGTAAACTGGAAGCCAACAATAACCTGCATTAATGCTCGCCGATCAACGTCTTGACTCACACCTTGACCTGGGATGGCGATATAGTCAGAGTGATACGACGATCGATGTCACAGTGTTTTGCAGATGACGGCACAGTGCATAAGAGGATAGAGATTTAAGTATCGTGCATTTTGGAAACGTATTGGTTTACGATGTGGATAGGTGAATCGATGGTTAATAATAGCTTCCTTGTTAATTTATTTCTAAGAAGACGCCTTTATGGGTATAGCGGCAGATCATTATTATTATTATTAAAATTCGCAGACTGATCTTTGGGTTCAGAATAGTTTGCCGGAGTTACCGATAGAGCTAACGAATTTTCAGGATTCTGGAACATATTAGTTCATGACGTGGATAGGTGAATCGATGATTAATAATGGCTTCCATGTTAATTTATTTCTAAAAAGACGCCTTTATGGAGACACTGGTCATCCGCAGATCGTTATTGAGATTTATTTTATCCCGTATTAAAATTCGCAGACTGATCTTTTGGTTCCGAATAGCTTGCCAGAGTTACTGATAGAGGTAACGAATTTGTAGGGTTATGGAACGTATCGGTGAAGGGATGTCGTAAAGGATTAAATAAGCGGAAAGCACTGTGTTGGATATTGTCAGAATTTATTATGCACGAGGAGGGCTGTGCCGAGAATACCGTGTCACTTTTGGAAAAATGTTCTAAGTCGCATTCTGGTAGTCAATGAACTGTCTGCACTTTTTTCAGCCCTGGCCCACGTGTCGTGGGGTTCACGCGTCCGTAAATCATGGGGGGTGGTTGTAAAGGCATAAACCAGGCCCCCATTGTCTTGGTACCCTTCACCTCGCTACGCGTGGAAAAATATCTTTCTTCTTCGTCGGTAGGGATGGCGTCCCTACATTGATTTATGATGTGAATTGGTGAATCGATGATTAATAATGGCTTCCATGTTAATTTATTTCTAAGAAAACGCCTTTATAGAGACAGTGGTCATCCGCAGATCGTTATTGGGATTTATTTTATCCCGTATTAAAATTCACAGACTGATCTCTTGGTTCCGAATAGCTTCCCAGAGTTACTAATGGGGCCAACGAATTTTCAGGGTTCAAAGAGTCGAAGTTATAGAGATCTATAGATTTGTAAGTACGATATTAAGGCAAAGATATATCAATGTGGGAAGATGCGATTACCCCGACGACGTGATCGATATGACTGTCTAATATTTTCGCCCAGGTAGCAATCTCGCAAACGGCGCTAAACGCAATAAAATATGACGTAAAGTACGATCTGATTTTTAAGGATACATCTCGCTGGAGATCACGTGAACTTTATTGGACTCTTTCGTGCGGAAGGCAATAATATCGGTGACTCGAAGTTCTTCATCCCGCGCAGGTAATCCAGGAGGAACTTTTACATGAAATTTACGGCGAGCTATTCATGGATGTTAGATCAGTCTCGAATCAAGATCGTAAAGAGTTACTATCTTACCGGATTTCCGGCAGTTCAACGGCCATGAGCTCACGGAGAGGAACGCCGCGTAGACAGTCGGCAATATCTTCGTCGTTCTCAGTGGAACATCCTATTTGCTCTGCTACCTTCAACCGTAGGTCGTTCGGATCGTGAACAGACGCCCACGGGCTTAACGCTGAGCCACTCGATAACACAACGCGGTGAAACAGACCTGTAACCATTGGTCAACACGTATTATTAAACACGATTCAATTTCGGAAACATGCAATAATCGGAAATATTTTTGCCAGTCACGTTAGAGTCGGTAAAGAAGATACGATTTTTCAAACGATTTGGTAATTTTAAGGAAAAATATAGCGTATGGCGATTCAATTTCTAATGGAAGTATAGTAATGTATAGTAATGGATGTGGAATAATTAGATCATTTACATGGCAGATTTTCGATGTATTTTTTGGTTATAGAATGCAGGATGACAAAATTCTTCTGACTCAATTAATTTCAATAATGTAGATAATATAAATGAACTGGTAATACGTAGAAATATTACAATTCCTTATAAATTATAATAATGTAAGGGAGGATCTATTTTCCCCCTGTGATTGTTGAAGTCAGCTGGTCATAGGTATCCTCGATGCTAGAAGGGACGAAAAGAAAAGGAAGAGATGCGTTTCGTCCTGGGCCTGCTAGTGGATTCATCAATAAGGCTATCTAGCCGGCCTTGTCTTAGACTTGTTAGGCGCTGTCTTACAAGGAGAGTGCAAGTCTATCGGGTCAGCGATTTGGTTCAAATTTTACAGGTTTATAGATCACGTCATGCAGTTTAAGAAAATATACAATTATAGCAGCATCTACTCAGTAGTTTTAGAGATATTTACGATTAAAATTTCATTCCCACCTTAATTAGAGTTTTATTTCCATTAGTTTTCAATCGGAGTTGTAGCCAAGCGGTGATAGTGGAAAATTACTATTCTGAGGACCGGGGTTCGATTCCGGTTCAATAAGATAGTATTTTTTTTCAATCTATTTTTTATTTTGTATTTATTTTTCACCTATGAAAACATTGTAAATAAAAAATTGTAAATAAAATTTCTTAATAAAAAAAATTTATTTTTTACCCTCCCCTAGGCCAGTATATATTTATTATTTAATAAGAATATTATACAAGGAAAACAATTTTTTAAAGCAATCTTATGTACTAATAACTAATTATTAAATTAAACATTGTATAAGAATGTTGCCTATAATTCCAACTTTGCTGCGCAGCTATAAATGTTCACGAATTAATTACAAAAACTAGGAAATGTATTAATTTTCTACTGCCGAATCGATTTATTAATGTGTATTATTAGCGCCTGACCATAAGTGGTATCTAGTTCGAATAAAAATTTTACCGCCTGCGATCAGCGCCATCTATGATTTGGGCTCAAAAATCAAGAAAGTGATAGGAATATAGAATAGGCAAGGAGGTCGACGAAGTGATGGTCACGTGGTAGACAAGGACAGAGAGGGGATAGAAAAGGATAGAATGGCTCCGGCAGTGAAAAATTATTAATTACTCAATTTCCGTAAACAATTCGTGAACTTTTATAATTTCATTGTAAAGCTGGAACTTCAGGCTGCATTCCTATATAACTTTCGTAAAGAATTTAGCTGTAAATTGTTAGTTATTAATTTTTGTTTTATGGCGTCTATGATTTCGTAACGGCGACCATCACGACCTTGCGTGAAAATATTTAATACTCAACTAAACTAGAAGCAAAATGTGATCAAAAGTTATATGAGAAGATTCGCAAGGACATTGTTTTTATAATGAGTGCATAAAGTTTCATAAATTAATTGCGTAAAGAATAGTAATTAATGAAAAACCAATGGCGTCTTCGA